TCCGATTTTATCCACATTACCCTTTGCCACGTTCTTTTTACCTTAGTTTTCCTTTCTTTCTTTATTTTTTTCTTGTCCAGCTGTGATACTTGTAGCCTTTCCTACAAAATAAGTCCTTTCCTTTGTACTAGGAAGAAGAAATTTTACTTCTTTCTACTCTCACCCAAATTCACACAGAGCCACAATCACATCAAAGAAAAGTAACTACCATTTGCCAAGAAGAGGTGGTTTCAGACGGAGGTTTCTTACATCTGGAAATTAAGACTCGGGGCGGAAAGGAAACAAGCAAGACCTACAGAGACTTTGAAAAGCGGTTCTGTGAGAAAATTAATTCTATCAGAACAAAACTTACCTTCTGGCTGTTACCATGATTTGAGTCTGACATTTTTTCAGCAGGACCTGGGGGAGGTAAAGCCAGCAACGGTAAGAATAGGTGCAGTTTACTTCTTTTAATCTGAAGATTTCTAACTTGATTTCTCCTTTTATAAGCAAATGTCTCCCTTCACATCCGGTTACCCAGAGGAGCTTTGTTTTCCTTCCCTGCACTTTCTCCCCCACCCTCACTCTCTGACAATATAACTTTGTCCGTTTGATACGCTGTCTTGTATGTAAGGTGATAGTTGAATTGTTGAGTAATTAAGAATCACTTCAAATCCTTTTTTAAAATTCGATTTGGGGCCAAGCTTGGTGGCTCATACCTGTAATCCTAGCTAGCACTCCCAGAGGCCGAGGTGGAGACTCACTTTGAGCTCAGGAGTTTGAACAGCCTGAGCAAGAATGAGACCCCGTCTCTACTAAAAATAGAAAAGTGAGCTGAGCATGGTGACACAAGCCTGTAGTTCCAGCTACTTGGGAGGATGAGACAGAAGGACTGCTTCAGCTCAGGAGTTTGAGATTACAGTGAGGCAGGCTGATACCACAGCACACTTCTAGCCTGGACAAATAGTGAGACTCTGTCTCAAAAAAAAAAAAAAAAAAAAAAAAAAGAAAAAGGAAATGATTAAGTGAAGATATTATTGAGAAAAAATTGACGTGATGAGCATGGTGTTTCTTTGACTGCTTCTTGCGAGTTGAGGGTCAACATGGGCTGCCTATAAAAAAAAAAAGGGAGGGGGTTGGGGGTGGAGTTTGGGCGTGGTGGTTCTCTGCTGTAATCTCTAATCCTAGCACACTGGGAGGCCAGCTCAGGAGGTTCCCTGGAGCTCAGGAGTTCCAGAAAAGTCTGTCTAAGAAGGAGATCCCAGCTCTTCTAAAAATAGAAAAATTGCCTGGGCACAGTGGCAGCCGCCTGTAGTCCCAGCTACTGGGGAAGCTGAGGCAGGAAGCTCACTTGAACCCAGGAGTTTGAGGTTGCTGTGAGTGAGGTTGATGCCAGTGAACTCTAGCCTGGGCAACAGAGTTAGACTCTGTGTTAATAATAACAAAAATAATAACAATAATATTGAGCTGGGTAGTAGAGAAGGGTTTGGCTATGCAGAATAGGAGCAGCAGGAGTCCAAACATTAAGATAAGCAATGGAATAAGGAATGCAGGGGGAGCTGTAAACACTTGGGAATTGCTGGAGCATATGTTGAAGGCAGAATGTAGCAAAAGATAAAGCAGATTGTTCTCTTAGGTCACTTTAAGAGCTAAGAAATTGCTGTTCAGGTACAAGATGGCAGCACTGAGATCCAAGTGCCTTTACAGAAGACTTTCTCTGCCCCAGGAATGGTTCCATCCGTAAATCTCAGGAGCTAGGGGGCCCATGGCCAGTTTCATTTAGCAGTATAATTTAGTAAAAGTGTAGTCTGCAAATGCTCAGCTTCAGTTTATTGAAGAACTGATTGGAAATATAAATTATGACGCCCCATCCCAGAGCTCCTCGAGGGTAGGGTGAAGAAATAGCTTCAACAAGCCCTCTGGGTAACTTTTAGGCCCCTGAAGTCAAGAATTGTGGCTAGAGGAAGATTTGACCTAAGGCCTTTGGAGATAGGCAGATAAAGGCGGTTAATTGTTGGCATTCCAGCTTCTCCTTTGGCTCTTCCTTTCCAGGATGGAAGTGGAATGCTGCTGGAAACAAATCAACCCACAAAGCACTCATCTACCCGCTTGGGTGCGGCCTCAGGAGCTTCTTCTCAGTAAGTTAGAGGGAAGCTGAGCTGGTGACAGGAGCTGATTTTAGTGCCTTAGGGGTTCAGTCAGGAGTTCTGGGAAGACCTTTTTTTTTTTTTAAACTGTATTTCTTTTTTGTTGTTGCATTTTTCACAATAAAATATCCTGTTTTACTAGGAGTTTTTTCTAAGTGTTTTATTATGGGAAAGTGCAAACATATATAAAAGTAGACAATAATATCACCGGTCTCCATCAAACTATCATAGAGCTTAAACAACTCATGATTCTCAGACTCTCACTCTGGTTTCATCCAAACCTCCACCCATTCCCCTTCTACCATTGAAGCAAATGCCAGACTTCATATCATTTTATTCATAAATCAAGGGAGGCCAGGAAGGTGGCTCACACCTGTAATTTTAGCACTCTGGGAGGCTAAGGCAGGAGGATCACCTGAGCCCTGGAGCTTAAGATCAGCCAGAGGAAGAGTGAGACCCCATCTCTACTAAAAATTAAAAAAAAAAAAAAAA